AAAAACATGGAGAAGTATTTGCCTAATACGGATGAGTAAATCATTCCATAAAAGAGTATTTCTTGCAAGTGTTTTGATGATCATCGATCAAGGGCAATAACATAAATAAAATCAAAATGAAGTATTAAAAATGATCATTATTTTATTAAGAATACTGATAATTGTCAGTGTTTTCTTTTCCTCGATAATAATTCCACCGGTATATACGTCATACACAATGAGATAAGCCTGTTATTCCATATGAAGTTACGGCATATGTGATTATTATATAACCCATGCATAAACCCAGTTATCCGTAACTTCATATGGAATAACAAGAAATTATCACATATGCGAAGTTAATTTAGCCGGGGTTTGTGCTACATTTTTATTTGATAGGCAAAATATATTTAGAATGAATAGAACACTCCATATCCTGTGATATACATGCATATAAAATATAATGTTCCACAGAGTATGAATAAAATATGAGATCGCCAAATCATATGCACAGGCCTAAAATATGAGCTTGTTTAAAATACCACGACGTAATAACTTTTCACCGATCAGCCTATCACGATCTGTTAGAAATTTATGATATTTCCTAGGATCCTCCTTTCTCTCTATTGCATCACGATAAAATGACATATCTCTCTCCAAGACATTGCGAAAGCATTTACCGACCCACTTATTTTTCTCGGTCTCAGTAATGATCGAAAATTTCTCAGGATTTTCCTCTCCATATTCAATGGCATATTGATAAAGACATTCCATTTTATTTGGATTAGTCCTGATTCCTTTGGAATTACCTGAAGTATTAGAGACATGTGTTAAAGGAATAGGTGTGGTTGATATGCATACCTCACTTTGCTTCCTCCAACTGATCAGTTTTCACATGATCCTCGTTTCCGTGAATTTTATTCACATTTTAGTCACATGATCTATAATGTTTTGAGTTTGAGTATAGGAGAGGTTAGAAATCGCATTTGCACTATAGGAAATAAGTCTTATCTTTTCTACTCCTACTGCGCTAAACAGTGTCCTTATTTTTCTGGCTCTAAGAAGTTTTTGGCGCAGGTTTACATCTGTAATTTCGGAAAGAAGTCGTTTGACTTCATTATATACTATCCCCATTGCTTTTTTTCTTACCGACTTTCTTATTAGCAGATACCTCATCTATTCTCTTGTCATATTTTTCCGCGAAATAGTACCAACATAAAACAGCATTTTGACCTGATTGAATAGCCTCTCGAAACATATGAACTATGCTTTGTGCCGAAACTAAAGATGGGTCAAGGTCCACTGATCCAATATCCCTACGAAATATACTTGATACTTCATCATTGTTAATAGTTGTTGAAAGCTGTTGTATTAACTCTTGTTCTACAATAAGATTTTTCTCGAGAGGAGGAATAAGTTCATCATTTTGTTCAGATTCAGTTCCTCCGAAACAACCCTCTTCCAGATGAGTAATTTTTTGCTGATCGTCAAGAATTGGAATGTTTTTTACAGAAGAAATATTCTGGGAAATCGTGGGTGCCTCCTGGTCCTTTGGATTTTCCGCTGTCTTGTGTTGAAGCTTTTCCTTCCGCTTTCTATGTCTTATCCCATCACTAACATTTTTCTTTGCACCAAGTTTAGGAATTCATTGGTCTTTCTACCCTCTTCGCAAAGTGAAGGGCTGGCAAGTACAGTTACTTCTGGTAACACTTCTAGTTCCACATTCTCCCCGAAAGGCGTATGCTTCTTGAGCTGGACTGCTACAGATTCTGGTACATTGAAAGCTATCTCAAAAGGTGAATCTGTCTAGGATCTTGTTCTAACTTGGCAACTCTAGCCTCACTCTCAATATCACGCCTAGCATTCTCGGCCCTTAGCTTCATAATTTCAGCCTTAACTTCGAAATTCTCAGTCTCAAGTTTAGCATTTAGCTTCAACTTTGGCAAAGTTTTTTCTAAGTTCAGGAATCTCGGCATTCTCAGCCTTAAGTTCAGCATTCTCAGCTTCAAGGCTGCAATACATTGCTCTAATAATTTAAGATCTGATGTCATGTTAGATATTTTATACAAAATGTGAATTATTCAATGTTCTGAAAAAATGCCAAAAAATTTGCGTGAATACAATTTACGGAAAATTTTTATTAATACAGAGAGAAAAAATACAATGTTTGGGACTTGCCCGTGATACATGACGTTGATTCCCTAGGGAATCAGTTTCTATTATACATGCTTATTTTTTCGAATGGTATTCCTCTATTTTAGCTTTTTTCTTTGAGGGGAATCGTCTTTCGCACATGCCCTATCCTTTAATAAATCATATAAACTAAATATTTTCTTTTATTCGTGGAACGTGCTAACTCTTTCGAAGCCGTCTCGGGACGGTTCATCAACCGACGAATAACAGAAAGCCCACAGTGCTTGCGTGGACGACTGGTAATGGCCGGGCTAGAAAGAACGCCCTTTCGTTCACTCCTTCGAAGCCGTCTCGGGACGGTTCATCAACCGACGAATAACAGAAAGTCCACAGTGCATACGTGACAACTGGTAATGGCCGGGCTAAAATGATTTATCAATAATGCACTTCCACGTGACATTTGTGAATCCCCGCTTAGCGCCACACAGCATAATGGACATTCGATTTTCTAGTGATATTATTGCCTTTATTTAAAATTATATTTTTCGGCTTTTTTTAATATTTTTTTAATATTTTTAAAAATTCATTATTTAAAATCAAAGTATATATCAAATATATCTAAAATGAATTCTAATAAT